AGCTTTGGCCAGTTACAGGACCTTTTACCTTTAATCTATTCACACATACAGACCGGATGGAATTGAATCTCTCCCCAAAAGAAAGTGGTTCCTGTTCTCACGAAGGGAATTTTGTGAAATACCGCCCAGGCCAGGCAAACGTGTGATGCGGAATTATAAAAAGGCCATTTCTGGACAAAAAAACAGGCTGGGTTCGAGTTGAAAGACTCCTGGGATGGGGTGGCCAGGGCAGAGTGAAAGAAATTACTCACAGGTTGTTTTCCATCTGGAGCAGGTGCACCTTGACAATGAAAGAAGGAAAGTTCTCTTGGTTGTGCATTGGGGTTGTCTAGAACTTTTAGAGTCATATGTAGTATCAGAAATACCCTTCCAACTAAACATTTAACTTAATGGGGGAAAACCCACTAAGTTAAATGCAAGCTCTGTCCATTAGGCTTCCAAAGTTTTTAACTTTATTATAATTAAGGTTGTCTCTTTGAATAATTCACTAAGAGAAAGTATTTTATTTCCCTGAGTGGATCAAAGGAACTTTCCATATCTGACACTTTTCTATAAAGTACAGCAGAATCTTGACACCACAGCAGACGATTTTCTTAGAGGGAAAAAAAAAATGGAAATGGAAATTTTATGCCAAGGGAATCCTGTATCTATTCTGCAATTCATGTCTAAAAATTATTAGCTATTGAAAGATTGTTAATCAGAGTGATTCTTAATTCAGGTACCTTTGAATTTTTTTAAATGTTTCTGTTCAAGCAGTATCTATTAAAATTAAAATATAGTCAAACTGGTAATAAAATTCAGATACCTCCTCTCTCTCAGCTCCTCACCCCAATGCTTCTTAAAAACCATTTTTAAAAATTAAGAATTCCAAACATTGTGTTCACTTTCCTTCTCACTTTACATCCCTTGTCCCAATTAGAAAAGGCTTTATTCTGCCCTGAGCAGTGTGGCGCAGTGGGTTAGAGCATTGTCCCACACAGCAAAAGGTCACTGGTTTGATTCCTGGGCAAGGCACATGCCTGGGTTGTGGGTTCGGTCCACAGCTGGGGCACAAACAAGAGGCAACCGATAGATGCTTCTCTGTCACACCGATGTTTCTCTTCCTCTCTCTCCCTCCCTTACCCTCTCTAAAATCAATAAAGTCTTTATTCTGACATGATTTTTACATTCTTTGATCTCTATCAAAACCCTATGTGCATTGATGTAGTCCACAGACCGGCCTTTTACACAGTTCTTGAGGCCTGACCATTCATTCCCTTCCCATAATTTCACATTTCAGCACTGCCCCTGCACCAGACAGATTAAATACGACATGAAAATCAAAGTCGATGCTGCTGATTGAGACCATCTCTGGAACATAAAAATGTGATGTTATTTGGGTTCATCAAAGCTTGTGATATTTCCAAACCAGGTCATTTAAAAATTTATCTTTGAATTAGCTAGGATTTTTTTTACAAGACTTGCTAAAAAGTAACAGAACAAAGTTTTAAAGTGAACTTTTAACCCAATATGGAGTTCAATGACTTTAAAAACCTGTCATTAAAATTTAGTGGCTATGAGAAATTGTCACTAGCGATGGACTTCTAAATAACTCCTACAGAATGCACTTGAATAACTTGATTCTATGAAATAATATTAATAAGACACATGCTTTTTTAAGGGTCGCAATCCAAACATTTTTTTATTACTGCGTTGATTTTAACTATTCTGTTTAAATGTTTTGCCAGCTCACTCCAGCCTCGGTATTGAAGACTTCAGGCATTAGCAACATGGCGGATCCCCAATTTGATGTCGCCCACAAATGACACTATTTCACTTCCCCCTTTTTACTAAAGTTGGCTGCTCCCTACTCTCCAGTGTCTGCCTCGTTTATGGGACAACCAGAAACTACCTAACCAACCCCATACAAATGACAATCTGTACGTAGGTATTAAATAGACTACAAGACAGATCTTGGGAACGAAATTTTTATTTACACACTGTATCTAGAAGCAGATACATAAATTCTTATACAATTAATTTCCAAAAATGTGCAAGAAATTACTATAATTTGTGTACAAACCAAAACACGTAGTAAAATCAATGGACTTTGGATCATTCATTCTGTGGTGTTCTCGGTACAAATGGCACACACCTGATCGGAAACATACAGAAGAGTGTAAACTACAGCAACCTGATCTCAAGGATTAACTTCATGGCACTCTGATAACTATAAAACTTCTTTAACCCAACATGTGTACTTATTACAAAATTCCATACGAATGTTTTGTCCTCTCCGGATGAGCTGTTTGGGTCGATTTTCAGAAACAGCAACTACATATCCACCAGGTGTTGACTGGTTCATTAAAAATGCTTATAAAAAACTTTTGCAGGATTAAAAAAGTATTCAAAGAAACCGAATTTCTGATTCCTAACGTACCCACACTTTTAGAATTTTTAAGCTATTTATGGAACTGGTCACTGTTCCTTATTAGTTTTCGACAAAACTGTCTATTGCTGGTAGCGGTTTTGATTTCAAATTGAGACTTCACATTCAATGAAAATTCACAAAAACTGAAAATATATGATGGGAGTCACCCAAAGGAAATCCCTCTCGCATACAATGTGAAGTGCACAATGATTACGACTGGCATTTCTGAAAGCACTGTTGGGAAAGATGTTCTAGACTTCAGCACTGGCAGAGACACTGCATACGGGCTCTGTTTGAGATATTGGGAACTCGTATCCTGTTTCAGCAATACTGGCTCAGAAAGGATCATGTACTGGTTTTATTCCCTACGTGCCAATGATCTAGGGTTTGGCACACAGTTTTCTTCAATAGCAAGATGGTTGCCCTGTGTAGCCGGTTTCCTTAAAGACTATTTTTAGCTCTATGATCATTTCCTGTGATACAAATGTTTGACCTCCTAAATCTTCAGATTATTGCACCAAGTAGAAAGAGAACAGTTTTCCTTGGAAAAGAAGAGGGAGATTATTTTTCAAGTACTTTCTAAGCTTCTTTTTATTTTAAGTAGAAATGCATAATAGTGTCCTACTAAGCCTGGGAATAGCTTCTGGTCTCCATCATATCTTGTGAGGTGAAATATTTGATAAAAACAACTCTGGTTCATTTATTATGGCAGAAGGATGCAGCTTTCCTGTTTTCTTCTTCATGCCTGGAGCTCAGACTTTTAAAAATCACTCACGGCTTGTGCCCATGTCATCTAAGCTGCCATTCAATGTAATCCAGAAATTTATCCAAACTGTCTCTAGACCCTGAATATTTATCTCTTTTTCCCCCCTGTCCATTTTTAACCAGACTGTTTGGGGATCTTACAAAGATCTTATAAAGTCTTTCATATTATGTTGTGTAGCCTACTTCAAATGGTCCTCCCCAGGCACTCACAGAAAATATTGCAATACTTCTTTCATTGTAATTTCTTGGCAAATCCATTTATTTTTATCCACACACCGTCAGACCCCATTTTACTTTAAAGTATTTGATATTACGAATATACAAAAGCACACAGAATCGGCTTTCCACATGAGAACAGCATCAAGACTCGCCCTCCATAAAAACACGAAACATACTTTAAAAAACATTCAAATGAAAACCAGGATAATCGGAACTTGAAACTAAATGGCTAGATCTTAAACACGCCCCACCGAGGAAGCGGCGGGGAACGGCTGGGCCCACATGCCGAGACGGGGCTCCCGGCGGACTCGGAGGGCCTCTGCCCAGCAAAGCCTCACAAAGAGCACACGGACACGCTTCTACACACGTGAGAAGCCATTTCAACATCTATTATTAAAACACGGGGACTCTGTGACAATACCTGCCATCTAACAGCGATGCACAAGGACTTTTAACTCACCCTAGATATATTTTAAATTGTTTAAAAATAAATAGTTTTGCAAAAAAATAGTTTAAATGTCTTGCATTAATTTGATACGTTTACAACTCTGCAATAGTTCTCAATCCAAATAGCTTATAGTGAACATTTAAAATTATATTATTACAGTATATTCAGTATCCCCATCGTATTAGGTGAACACATCAGAAAGCGAGTCTTCGCAACAAGGTACAACTTAACATTCCACAATTAAGTACCTTTCCCCCTTTAAGTCAAAATACCAGAACAAGACATCATGGTACTGCGCCCCTTCTTGTTAACTCTCGGTTCTGACCCTAAAAAGCAAGTAGAGGAAAAATGGGGACACTGCTATATTGGAATGAAAAAGCTGTCAAGTCTGACCTAAGATGTTTGCTATTGTTCTTCAACAGGGTTAGGAGCTTGGAGAACTGGGTGACAAAGGACAAAATGTCTTAATTACATGTTTTATCTGAGATGGGAACATTTCCTGGGTGGGGCCATCTTGAAATACGGCACTAAGGAACCATACAGTGAGTAAACACGGCATTTCAAAAGAACTACAAAGTATAGGGGATATCACATACACATCCCCACCGAAATGACTGAATCAAAGAGATAAAAGAGGCACCAATGCCAATTTCTCTGAGACTTAAAAAGCAACCAATAGGAAACCTGTACCACAGCGGTACTCTCTACGGTGGGCAACAAGACTGCCATATTGTCTGAGATGGTTTCAGTATTTTTCTCACGTGGTGCTCCCCAATTTCCACCATTTTTCAACCAAGTCACTGGGCTCATTCGTTTTCTCGGTGGGATGAAGGGTCAAATCTAACATCTCTTAATATTCATTCAAATCAATTTAAAACTTAATATGAAATCTGAGTGTTCCAACAGAATCCAGTCCATTTACGAAAATCAGTTCTACATCAATTTCCCCCCCAAGAATGTTGACTAAGCTAAAGAAATCACAGATAAAACATTTCAGCAAAGGAAAATAGAGATAACACAAAAAATAGCTTCCACAGGAAACTATGACCATCTAGTGTTTAATATGTCTAGTGTGACTTGGTCTAGGTCTTTATATGTTATCACGATTTGTATTAGAGCTCAAAGACAGAAAAGGCAACAATTTCTAAACTGGTGATATGTATTTCTTTATGATTTTTTAATGTAAGGCCATTTATTAAAATAGATGAACCAAAGACAAAAATGAAGGCAACAGAAAAATCCAAATTTTCACAACCAAAGTGAAAAAAAGAAGAGAGAACCTAGCACAACCTTAAAAATAATTTAGAAACAAGTGTCACAAAAGATATGTTGCAGGTCCGTGTTCCCGTACCCAAGATTCTATCATTCATAATTCTCAACAGATCCTTCTCCACTATGAGATTAAAAAATCATTTTCAGTGTATGCCTAAATTCTGTGTTTTATCACACGGGTATGTTCACTCAACACTCTCTTTGAAAGTGGGCCATTTAAAGAAACTAACAATTTTCATTCTGTAGGTTTCATTCAACTTTACTTAGGGTGGAATACACACGAAATGTGCTTTTAATGCATAAAAATCACAGTGGATAGCAGCAAAGGACAGGGTGGGGGTTAGGAGAATCTGATCATTCACATTGGGATTATTCTGCACATCGGTGAGAGAGAATTCATACTTCTAAACCTTCAAGCCTTCCCTTTTTAAAGACTAAATAAACCCAAGACACCTTGCCAGCACTTCCCCACCGGAAAACAAATCGATTACTCTTTTACACACATAAAACTGAAATAAGTATGGCAGCAAAGATTCTGATAGCGATGAACATCTGTAAACTGTATTCCAATCTCTTTCTCTTCCTCCCAAAGTGCAGGACGCAGGCTCCCCTAACTTCAGTAGTGCTTCTCCTGCAAATAATCCTTCATCTTGTTGGGCAAAGGCAGTTTCTGAATCAGGTCTATCCTGGTGTACTGACGGATGACAAACCGACACAGGTACTGCAGAGAGCGCACCTGCATGAACCGGGACACGGGGTTAGTCAGTCTGACGGGGTACGTCGCAGACCCAGGCAGCCGAGACCGCGAATAACAGAAAGCTCCATTTTCAGAGTCCCTGATGGAATGCTCGATGAGATCCACGATGGACGTGTGTCCTTCCACGTCCGGCTGCTCATAGAAGCTAAACCTACCGTTGGAGTGTTCGATTCTCGTGTGAAGGGTTTTGCCGTGGGAGCGAAAGCTCAGGCTTAGAAGGTAACGGTCGTCGGAACTGTCCCGAACGAGGAAAGAACCGTCGGGCACGTTGGCGAGCTTCCCTTCTGCCTCCCAGCGTGTGATCGGTCCCCAGTACCATCCTTGTTTCGCAAGTTTCTTCAGCTCCTCGGTAAGGCTCGTCACCACCATGGGCCCACTACTCTGCACGGAGTCGTAAACTCTGGCCACCCCAGGGGCGGAGTTGGGGTCAAAATTCAAATGACAGCGCACGCTCTCTGCCATGTGGGCATCCGTGCCAGTGAGCCCACTGAAGTTCCTTTGGATTGGATTCGTCTGCATAGGAGGTAGCAACGGTGAGAGTGGGGGGGCATCCTCGTGGGCCCCTCTGGGGCTCTGCAGCACGACCCCCGTGGTGCCGATGAGCAAGCCGTTCCCCGACGGATCCACGAAGATCTCGGGGGCCACCACGAGCTCCTGGTCCCCCTGATGCTCATCCTCGGGGAAGGAGCTCCCGCCCCCCGGGGCAGGGACCGTGGAGACCTCCATGGGAGAAGACCCGTCCAGACAATAGCTGCGCGACCCCTCCAAGGGGTACATCCCCTCCTCTAAAGGCACAGTGTACTGAATGTAGTCCTGAGGCATAAGTCCGATGACGACAGGCACGTGCTCGTCAAGGTGAAGGTGCAGGTCCCCGTTGGGGGACTCCGCACTCTTCAGGGAACCCCTCTGCTCCTGGCACGCGGGGTCCGGCGGCAGGTCGTGAAACTCCTTGCGGACGCCGTTCAGCGCGGGGCTCGGGCTGGACGAGTGCACCAGGGCTTTGACCCTCACCTCCATCTTGATGCACGTCTCCTCCGAGGTGGTGGGCCGCAGCGGCCAGGGCGTGGGGCTGTAGTGATGGTTGCGGAGGGACGTGGACCGGATGGGCCTCTGGGCTCGAACGTCTTTGAAGACGATGGGCGCTGAGGAGGAGGAGAAGGTGTCGTCGTTGGCGGTGCTGCCGGCGGGCGTGCCGCCCTTGCCCTTCTGCTTCTGCTTGGCCGACAGCCGCCTCTTCAACGTCCCCATCAGGCTTTCGCTCTTGGACCGATTCTTGCCCCCTTTGTCATCGTCCCCGTGGAGGTCACAGCTGGCCATGTCTTTCCCGTAGCAGCTACCGAACAGGGAATCTTCTTTTCCAAAATCGCTGGCCAGGGACGGTGGTTGTACGACCATGAAATCCGTGTCTTCTTTGCTTTTGTTCAAGTTGAACGATTTCCGGAAGGTTTTGAGACTAATTTTCTTCATTATGACGAAGGGCCTAACCCGAGGGGATCAATTTCTCTCTGGAATGTTCTCCTGGAACATCTGAAGGCAGCATGCAACACTGCATCTGTGTGTTTTTCCAGCTTCATGTGCCCTCGGGAGCCATTTTCTAGAAAATAAAAAAATGAAAAACTGTTGAAAGAGGTCACATCAAATAAGTTTTCACAAAACTTTTATTTTACTCGGTTTCTGTTAGCTGTTGGACAAAGACACCAGAGTGGGTGCGTAAGAAGCTCGGGTCCCTTAGAACAGGGGTTTTCTTCCATTTTGCCCTGTACGGCAGGAATGTCAGTGCCTGCCACGCAATCGGCACTTGACAAATATGTCCCAACACTTAATGATCAAACCCTCCCCTGCCTCCTTGCCCTGAAGCATGGGCCAGAGTTCTCGTCTCTCCAGAAGCTCCTCTTCTGCACCAATTCACCCGAGGCCTGGCTGCCAGTCCGTGCCCCACAGGCAACAATCATTCTGGGGCGGAGGCACCGCATTGAACTGGGACAGTAACGAGCCTGGTAGACTCCTCAACAACTTACACATATTTTAAAAAATTCAAACCTCTGTAAAAAATGAAGGAAGAAAAAGCATCCCACAGTCTGTGACAAATTCTCTGGGAAAAGCCCCGCAGTGCCCCTCCCTCCCTGTGAGGTCCACTCACCTTGGCCCCTGAGCCTCACCTGTGTACTCCCACAGGTGGAGAGCGATTTGAAAGAAGGTCACAAAGCAGAGTTCCAGAACTATTAAGTCCTCCTCTTCTTATTTTTTATTTTGCAATTTCCAAAGGCAAATATTTTCCTTCTGTATCCAGACACACAACTTCTAAACTTTTCCTGCACACAGTTCCGTCACTGAAATGCTACGATTTCCATTCTGTAAAGGCTTTCTGACCTCACATCACAGGGAGAAATGCTGGCCTAAGTTGCTCTAACTGTACTAACAGATCCTGAGAATCATTCTGCTTAAACTGCACATGTTTCGTGTTCTCGGAGGCCATGCTCTGCAGTTTGTGCGACTATTGAAGTACAAGGTCGTAACAAAGATGCTCAGCTTGCACTTGAGCAAGATGCTAACCCTACTAAGAGTACAACTGTGACCTCCCCACCCAGCAGATTAGTGCCACTCAGTTCTGTGGTAAAAGGCTACGGTGCCACCCTGGGTGACACTCATGAATTCACTGTGTGTTCACTAAGCCTACTACAAACCCAGCGCTGTGTGGGGAGACGCAGCTGAATGCAGGGTGCATGGCCTCACAACCCCGCAGGAGAGGGGTCGATCGGCGGATAAATTATAATGCAAACCCATCAGCAGCACAGCGACAAAACACACAGTAGGAGTTGAAAGGAGAGAGATAGCTCACCGACACTGATTTAGTAATACATTGATTTGCTTCCTACGTGGGCAGAATCCACGAAGTCATTTATAGTAAAAGCCACTCAGATCGGAGAACCTCCTGGGGGATCAGCAATCTCATGTCTATAATGGAAGAAACAAGCTAAAAAAAAGTCTTTCCGTTACATCCCGTGTGTCTGAGCAAGTTGTGAAAATTAAAATACATCTACACGTTCAGAACACCCAGTCCCTTCTAAACATTATTGTATGTTAGATGAACTCACTGTCCAAGTGCCACTGTCCTCTACCGAGCACAAAAATGTACCATTTAAATTACTAACATATATTATTTGTCGGACAAGAATATGGCCATTCATAACCGACGGCGATTTCTGATTCTGCCTCCTAGCAGCACCCTGACCCCGCTGCACAACAGGGTGCGGGCGAAGCCACGGGCGGGTCCCCGAGTCTCTGTGAACCCCCTGAACTTTACATACCCAATGGCTTGCCCATGTTCTTTCCTCCAGCCGTCACCACCGTCACATCCTCCGAGGAGATGGAACCCACACAAAGGTCTGTCCCCAGAGAAAACGTAGTAATTGGGAGGAAGAAGCCAGGCGGGTGGGAGCAGAGCCCAGCAGCTGTGTCCTCACATCACCGTTCCCTGGCAGAGGCCGTCTGGGAAACGCAGACAACACAAGTGAACCGGGGAGGACATGACGATTGGTCACTGTGACACAGACCATAAAGAAGAAGGTCATTGGCAACTACTGGGGCTTTTGCTCCAGATTCCACAAACACCTGAGGGCCCCCAAACCCTTGGAGGAGCCAGTATTCGTGCCAAGACAGGAATGACGAGAAGGAGCAAGTCACCAATGGAAAGGCTGGAGTGGACGGAACGACTGGCTAGAGCAGGGTGTCGAATTCATTTTCACCAGGGGCCACATCGGCCTCACGGCTGCCTTCGAAGGGCTGAGTGTAATTTTAGGACTGTATACGTGCAACTTCTCCTTAACTAGGGGCAAGGAGCTCGGCGCGGCCTCCGGGTAGGAACAAGGTGCTGGGCCGGATTCAGCCCGCAGGCCCTGTGTTTGCCACCTGGGTTCCAGATTGAGCTAAGGCGCTGAGACGGGACCAGCAGATACAAACACTGAGAAGCCCAACGTGTCTGAAGCCTGGGGCGTGAGTGAGGGGCACGTGATGGCCAAGTTCAAGGTATTCGGGTCTAAGTGCAAGGAGAAGAATTAAAAGGCTTCAGATACCAACATGGTCTAGTTTATATGTATACGTCCCAGTTTCCGAGCCCACAGTGCACCCTCTTCAGTGCGCAAACCCCAACCTACCAGGAAAGCAACTCTGATGACGAGATACAGAGCGAAGGAGAACATCCCAAAGGTCTCGAATTGCCCCATTTTTAAGAAGGACTAGCGGTTTAATAAAATGTAAGTTGTTAAAACAACCACTGCTGGCTCCAGGAGAGTACTGTCCACTTTTCCCTAGTAGGTCACAAGCCTCTTAAATTTCCCCAACAATGGTTTGATTTAAAAAGTTCAAGTTCAACATAGAAGCATTGGAAAGTCTCAGACCTGAGTCAACTGCAATGGAAATTTTATTCACATCTAATTTCCATTTCAAGAAATTCTTCATCATGCCTCCATTTTGTGGTGTAATGTTGGAGACACTAACGAACATTCAATCAGAATTATTAATTGGCTGAAAGTTGACACCTGACCGGAAACGCTCCTGGCTGCAGACCCTGCCGGGTCCACCGGTTCACAGTGTACTCGTGCTGACATCAGACACGTGTGTCGGGGTGTGGGCACCACTGATGTGGCAGGAGTAGGGGCGGGCCCATCTCGAGTTGCCAGGAAGACGCTGGGCACCCCACCTGGTGAGTCCAGGGTAGAAGGACCCACACACGGTACGTGCGGACGAGGACAGAAGATGCAGACCCGGCCCGGGGTGTGGAAGGCAGGCCGTGAGGGGGCAGCAGCCTCGTCTCCTGCCCACACAGACTCCGGTCTGTCTCAAATCCAACAGCCAAACATCCAGAAGGGTGAATCCCAAGGTAACGTTCCACTTCACTCAGTACAAACCAAAGTCTTTACAGGGGTCTGTGAGCCCTAAGGCACGGGGCTGCGGGCCACGTGACCTGACGCCCCCGTCTTCACACCACTGTTCCCCGGCCCCTGCCCGGACTTCTCGATGCTCTGAATTCGGCAACATGCTGTCGTTCAGGCCTTGGTGCTGCAGATACGACCAGCTGCTCCCCTCAGTCCTTCAAGGGCCAACTGCCCTTTCTCTGTGAGACCTGCCCTGACCTCACCATTGAGCTGCATCACTAAGCCTCTTACAGGGCACTGTTATTTTTTTTTGTCTGGCATACAACAGACTTTCTCATTTGTTGCATTCTTTGCCTGCCCCCGACCCCCTACATTGAAGAATGTAAGCTTTACAGAAGCAGGGGTTGTAACTGTGCTTTACCCACCGACATCCCCCAAAAGTCCAGGGCCTCTGCAAGGGCGTCGGAGGGGCCCAGTAATTGTGAGTAAATGAATTCAGACATGCAATTCTAATCGGGTGCAGCGGTGAGATACCCTGACCACCTCCACCCACTCAGTCCCCTCCTGAGGGATAATTTATCACTATTTAGGAAAAAGGTATAAAAAAAGGTCCGACCAGGGGTGTCCCACCTGTGGCCCAGAAAGGCTATGACGGTGGCTCAACCCAAAATCATACGCCGACTTAAAACATTGTGAGATTATTGTGTGATCACATGTCACGATGTATTGAATATGTGGCCGAGACGTCCAAAGGTTGGACACCGCTGGGACACGGTCTGCCTTCCCTTGACTTGATACCTGGTCCATCACATTGAAAGCACTCATGTTCACCATACTCTCAATACAGAACTCTTTAAGCTACTGGCCCTTTGATTTGAATTTGTGTCTTTCAGTCTCCTTTCTGATTAATCTGCTCAAACTCCAGCGTGTCTCTCGATTCCTCAGGCGCCACCCACGCCCCCCTCTGCCCGACTATGGAATCCCCCAGCCTCAGGCCCACGGAAGACTGCGCACCTCTCCTGCCCAGAATCCCCGCCTGCTGTTAGTGCACCTGGGCTCAGGCCTGGCCTGTCACCATTGGACGAACACCTCGCACCCCAGCAGAGTCTCGTCGGCGCAAAGGCAGAGAGAACGTCAATTCTTTCCTCAGCACGGTCTCCCCAGCCCCTAGCGCGCACCTGTCCAAAGAAGGCGCTCCATGAACACAGGGTGAGTGAACGGTGGACTGAACTGAGTGAGAACGGTCCACAGTGACAGGCAGTTCGACGCTGAGGCGTCACACAACTGCTCCCGCGTGACAGGCATCCACACTGACATTACCCTCGCTCAGTTTGGGGTCATGCACTCCTGCTCCCCACTACTGCACGCACTTCACAGGAAGCAAGAGATGGACAATCACAGTTAAAAGTACTCAGTAATTCTCTATGGGACCGATTATTCTTTTTTCAGTATCGATCCACACGCAGCTCAACACTAACATTAAATAAACAAAATTCAATTCTAGACATCATAAACTATAAAAGTTCTATTAGGCCATGTGGTCTTCTATCCCTTCCCTTCATTTTCTAGGCAGAGATTACACGGGAATTTTTAGGAGAATCTGTTTTTCTGTTTGCACTTCTAAAAATACACGCCACCTCCTTCTAGGGTTACCATCTGCCTCCCGCTGCCTGAGGGAACATCCTGACTTGCTTTTGCTGCTTCCCTCACTGTCGAAGTT